ACTTCTCACGCGCCTACATAAGTACACGCACCCATTTTTTTTACCTTGTTTTTTATGAGTATCCAGTTATAACAATATACCTTCGAAAGACTTTTATTGTGCGTTCGGATATTTCATTGGAAGATTTCTAACACTTTTTTGTCTATGCTTGAATTTATTAGCTAATTTAATTAATAAAGTAATTTATTTAATTCTTTTTATAATTTTATGTTTATTTATTTGACCCTAACTACCGTGAACTACCACCGGTTCCAAAATTAGGAAAGCTTTCTGAGAAGAACCGACGAAACAAACTCAGAGGCTTTCTATCTCCCTCTTATGTTAAATCATGCAAACAAAAAGAACTAACATTATCTGTTGGTCTTTCAGTGTGTGCTCGGGGTTGGGATTTTATCTGTTGTATAATGGGTTCCCAAGCTGGTGGTATATACCAACCACCTTCCCTATTGAAATTTGGATATTTCTTAATCTCAATGGCTTCGCGTATCATTCTAGGAATGAATCGTTGTTCAGTTACAAGGATCTGTGGTTTATCATATCTAATGTAATGGTTTGGTGGTAAAAAGCATGTTCACACAATGCAGACTTATTTTCGCGCTTAGTGTAGTAGTAGCTAGCGAGTTTATGGTAGTTACGGTCTTAAGAATTAAATAAATTACTTTAATTAAATTAGCTAATAGATTCAAGCATAGACAATAAAGTTTTAAAAATCTTCCAATGAAATATCCGAACGCTCAATAAGTCTTTCGAAGGTAGCTCGAAAAAGTAATTAAAAATGATTATTCCGATGATGCAGTCCTGAAAAAAAAAACGTCAATAAATAAATAAATTCAGTGCATATAAGCTGAAAAAAAAAAACTATTTTATTTAATGAGTGATGTGCGTGAAAACCAAGGAAACAAATATTAAGCTACATTTTATCGGGTAATGTTTAAGTTAATGGACAGAGGCGGCCTCGTGTTTCTACACACGCTTACACATTGCAAGCGTATACAACTGGCCGCCACAAATTATTACAACGAAATAGTATAATGAATTTCATGTCAATTACAAACTAAATACAAGCAAAAAAGTCGCGCTGTTAATGTCGATATCTCCAACGTACATAAATACTGGAATGCAAAGATTATGGACACTAACATACCTACTAAAGCTGCACTGGAGTAAACTCTTCTTCATAATAATGTAGGTGAGATAAGATAGTTTTTCCCTCATGGAACCAAGTAGGTCGAAAAAAGGATTTTGATTTTTAAGTCCATTTTCAAGGTGTTCTACAGTTCAGTAATTGCGTATACCGCGGACCAAAACTGAACACATGTAAAAGTTTATAAAAATTGCGAAGTAGACAAAGTTTATATTTTCAAGATGGTTGTCACTAGTGTTGCCAGGTCCGATTTGTTTTAAATCGGTACAAGAGGTCAAAAAAATCGGGATTTTGGGGTTACAGAGTTTAAGTCTTGGTTTAATTTATTGCGTTTGTAACTACTAGTGCAAGTATAGTCTTATATTATTTACCTAAATTTCATTTTTTGATTAATCGGGACATTTAGCGTCCCGATCAGGTACAAATCGGAACGCGTCCCCAGACCCCTGAAAATCAGGACGTCCCGCGCAAATCGGGACACCTGGCAACACTAGTTGTCACCCTAGTTACGTTACGGCATAAGGTGGGTTAACAATCGAATTAACAAAGTTCTCGCTATACCCTTGAGTAAGGGATATTTAAAAAGGCGACACATTCTTAAATTGATAAGCTTCCCCTTAAAATACTGCTTATGGAATGGAATGCAATAATTTATATGCAAGAACCCGCTTAAAACTAAACCCTATTCACGGAAACGTTACAATTATAATGTTTTCTGTCATTGACCGAAGTAATGACGTAGTTATTGTTATTTCGGTCTATGATAAGCCCTTTTCTCGTAAGACTCAATTTTCCATCCTCGTCTTTTGCAGGCTTAGATTAAAACAAAAAGGGAAGATACGGTACGCTCATACTAGCATCAAATAAAATATGATCCGATTCAACTACATAAGCAACTCTCACAAACGCACACATCTGTATATAAACATTCAATCGAGCGAGCGAGGCAGAACGAGTCCGTACGGATGAGCTGTATTGTTGTCCTTTTCTTGATAACAAAATGGCGATTACGTACGAAAATTCTCGACAAACCGGGATTTTTGAGAGATAAATGTTTTTACAGTTTTATGAATGAAAAGTGTTACTGAGGCATTTGTTATTTGACTTTGAGCTATTTGTGTACTTTATAAAATCATCGAAGGCATTGTTTTATCTTTATAACACAGAATATACGCAATATTGTTATATTGAGTGCACATGCAGCGTGTTTGAATGTTAACTTGTAACTAAAGCGAATTGTGGTCATGCACCACAATTTAAGCGGATCGCTTTTAAGCCGCGAGTGCCGTATCTTCCCTTTTTGTTTTAATCTAAGTTTGCAGGTGATTGTATGATAAAGACAGCGCTCCACTAAATTGTTTCCGTGAACAGAATATTTGGCGCAATAATAACAAAATACATGTGTAATAGCATAAAGAATGTGATAACTACATAAAAACAAGGAAACATGCAAAGGTGCACCGAAAAATAAAAATACTAAAAGATGCTTCCAATAAATATATTTGAATAAATATTATTTACATTTACCAACGTGATAGTCACAATCACAATAAAAAGCAAATTATAATAATTTCAGTTAGCTTAAATACTAAATTCACTTGGTTTTAATACATTAAGTTAAAGAATTTTAAATCTTAATAACAAAAATAACAGGTAAAAACTCAGATCTTACGTTTGTGATTTCATTTTAAAATGGCTTGATAGTGTGACTTTATATCTGTAATAATAACTGTATATGTTTTCCAATTGATAAATGGTTTTACCAAATGAATGGTTCATTTTAAGTCTGATTCCATCACAACCTACCACTGGTGCAACTAATGAGAAGCAAAAACTAAACAAAATTTGTGAATATTTATACACTAAAAACGTGGAATAATTAATAATAAGTAGGTAATTGAAATTTTTAAAAATACATGCACAACTCTAATTTCAAATTTATAAATTTATCAAAAATGGAATGCTTAAAATTTGTGCAACTACATTACCTATTTATTTTCTTATTTTTATATTCAAAGGTACCAGTCAGATTTAAATATAAATATTTATCATAAACTTAACACTTATTTTAATGTTAAATATACCCGATGTTGAGGGACTTACCTCACTCCTATAATTCTTGCATGATAGTGCAAGCAAAATTGGACCTTATGATCAAAACGAAAAATTGTTTTGTACTACTATTTCGGAGTGAGGTTTTTATAGGTACTTAAAGCATTTTAGTGTCATGGCGGCACTTCACTTGGCTATTCGTGTTTGCTATTTGGAAGCTTGACAATGGTCTTTCCTTATCATGCTTTTTCAAGTAACTTATATACCAACTGGAACGCTTACGCGTCCCTCAAAATCGTTCCAAGAGCATAGCTAAATTGGTGGAATCTGTCTCGTTCTAGTAGTGTGCTCAAACAGTTGCAAGTGAGGGACAGATTCCACTTTCGCCGTTGTCGCGCTAGAAGTATTTTCCCCCTTACGAAGGTAGAAACAAAAATGGACTTTATGTATAACTAGTTAGAGTACATTTTTTGAATTTCCATATTGTTTCGTGAGAATTCCAGTTACTATATAAGTTCCTTGTGCTTTTTCAAGGAATGAAAAGTGCAGACAGGTGTCAATTTTACAAATAGCAAAGTGAAGTATCGGCATCAAGCAGGTTTGTTCACCTAACCTGTTCATGATTGATCGACAAGCGTAGCACCCGCCATGTGCATGTTCTTAAATCTGTTACATATTGAATGTTATACCTTATACGTACATTTCATAACACATTTAAGAACATGACAATGGCGGGTACTTCTGTGAGATAAGTACGCGAGTTGAGGTACGACATGTTTTTAAAATGTGAAGTAAGTATTAACCAACATGTGCGAATAAACCAAAAATAATCATCAGGAATTTTAAGTCAGAATAACTAAAACCAGTTGCGTGAATTCTAAATCCACTTCACACTAAAAACGCCATATAATAGGGTAGGTAAGTAGGTGTTATCCATATAGTAGATAATTTATGGATCTAGATATTAAACATACTTTAAAAAAACTTAATAATAAAATCTCTACTTAATGTCACTATTGCACGGAGATCACAGTTTTATATTTGTTTAAAAATCAGATCATTCCCGTTGTAACAAAGAATTTTAGCTAATTCTTATAAATTTTATATAGGGCTGAACTTTTCAAATTTATTCTTATTTTTTTCCTTATCGTAATTAAATCTATATAATGTTGTGTACCCAACCGTCAGTCTTACATATTAAGTACTAATCAAATTTAAGAAAATATCCGCTGCCTGGTCCGCGCGGATTTTTTTTTCTAGTAAAAATTTTCTTTCGATTTAAACATCTAGTAGTAAAATGCTTAAAAACATATCTTTAAAATGTTACTGAAAAAGTTACAGTTAACGTCAAATACCTATTGTACTTCAACAAATTAGATTTAAGATAAGATCCGTGATAACTAATCATTTAATACAAAAAAACATAAATAGATATTAAATTTTCGGTTCCTCGGGGATCCTGGTCAACCAAAGAGCTATATGGACGTGCAAAATATGTAATAGGTTTTAACTGTAACTGTGGTAAAACTGTAGGACGCTATCAGTCTATCAGTGTAAGTGGAACTTTATATAAAATCTTCTCGATAAATTACAATAATACAAACAAAGCGCGTTATTATTGTTGGCAACTAAAAGAAAACAACTAATGGCCAAATTACATTAATATAGTACCAATTTCGCTGACATGGCAGCTCGGGCTTCGTGTAAAGACATTTTTCGCACCAGCGTGTAAGAAGTGCTCACCGTGGTTCCGCGCGCGCAGTAAGGCGGCGGCGGCGAGTGTGATGTGTGCGTGTGTGTGTGTCTACCGGTGTGGGTGCGGCAGTAGTGTGGCGGTGTCGGGGGCGCGCTCACCGTGGTTCCGCGCGCGCAGTAAGGCGGCGGCGGCGAGTGTGATGTGTGCGTGTGTGTCTACCGGTGTGGGTGCGGCAGTAGTGTGGCGGTGTCGGGGGCGCGCTCACCGTGGTTCCGCGCGCGCAGTAAGGCGGCGGCGGCGAGTGTGATGTGTGCGTGTGTGTGTGTGTCTACCGGTGTGGGTGCGGCAGTAGTGTGGCGGTGTCGGGGGCGCGCTCACCGTGGTTCCGCGCGCGCAGTAAGGCGGCGGCGGCGAGTGTGATGTGTGCGTGTGTGTGTGTGTCTACCGGTGTGGGTGCGGCAGTAGTGTGGCGGTGTCGGGGGCGCGCTCACCGTGGTTCCGCGCGCGCAGTAAGGCGGCGGCGGCGAGTGTGATGTGTGCGTGTGTGTGTGTGTCTACCGGTGTGGGTGCGGCAGTAGTGTGGCGGTGTCGGGGGCGCGCTCACCGTGGTTCCGCGCGCGCAGTAAGGCGGCGGCGGCGAGTGTGATGTGTGCGTGTGTGTGTGTGTCTACCGGTGTGGGTGCGGCAGTAGTGTGGCGGTGTCGGGGGCGCGCTCACCGTGGTTCCGCGCGCGCAGTAAGGCGGCGGCGGCGAGTGTGATGTGTGCGTGTGTGTGTGTGTCTACCGGTGTGGGTGCGGCAGTAGTGTGGCGGTGTCGGGGGCGCGCTCACCGTGGTTCCGCGCGCGCAGTAAGGCGGCGGCGGCGAGTGTGATGTGTGCGTGTGTGTGTGTGTCTACCGGTGTGGGTGCGGCAGTAGTGTGGCGGTGTCGGGGGCGCGCTCACCGTGGTTCCGCGCGCGCAGTAAGGCGGCGGCGGCGAGTGTGATGTGTGCGTGTGTGTGTGTGTCTACCGGTGTGGGTGCGGCAGTAGTGTGGCGGTGTCGGGGGCGCGCTCACCGTGGTTCCGCGCGCGCAGTAAGGCGGCGGCGGCGAGTGTGATGTGTGCGTGTGTGTGTGTGTCTACCGGTGTGGGTGCGGCAGTAGTGTGGCGGTGTCGGGGGCGCGCTCACCGTGGTTCCGCGCGCGCAGTAAGGCGGCGGCGGCGAGTGCCAGTAGGGCGGCGCCCGCGCAGCCGACTGCCCCGCCCGCGCCCCACCACCACCACGCGGGCGCGTCGCCTGCCTGCCCCACCCCGCCCGGTACGACGCTGCCCTCCAAACCCGCAACTACTGACTGGGCGCCTTCTGCAAACGGTCGTGCCGAGTCAAAAAAGCGAAGCGGAGGATCTTAAACTGTTCTAGGTTAAACCTCAATGAGATAAGTTTTTAATTTTTCGAAAACATAACCGCGTACTCCGCCAAACATGGGTCTTGGCGGCCCACGCGATACCTCGCCTGTTTCCGACTCGCATCTACTGCTCGGGCGTCTTCTGCTTTTGCAATGGCAAGGTAGTTCGATCGCATCATTACAGGTGCATAATTAAAAACAAGCCGACCATGTGCGATTCGGACTCGCGCACGTTGGGTTCCATAAGTACCATTATTTATACTAACCATAATAATCGAGCAAAAAAACCGCAAAAAATCTTTATTTTATTTTCAATGTGAATATACAACTAAACATTCGGTGAATATTTCAAGCATCCTGTTGTCGTTCTTTTAATATATACTGTTATTATAGCGACAACATAATTACATCATCTGTAAAAAATTTGACTGTTTAGCTAAAACGGGTCATGAGATATAGCCTGGTGAAATACAGACAGACGGGCTGTGGATTCTTAGTATTGGTGACCCGTTTTAGCCTTTGGGTACGTAACCCTAAAAACTAGTCCCACTCGATTCCGATTCCTACTTCAACTCCTATCACGCATGATAACCATTCAATATTCATTATCAGCTAATTAACTAACCCACTGCTGGGACTTCCCTTGGTAAGGAGCCTACCCTTGGATAGAGAGGACAGGCCATGACACACCACGCCGGGTCCATTGCGGATTGAAATATTCTAAAGACAGAATGCAGCCAGACCAACAGCTAAAGCAACAGTGACTCCCAAAGCACAGCACAGCACAGCACAAGATCATATATTATTTGTCACTTTTCCTACGATCAACAACCACTTTAAAAGTTAAAGTTCAAGATTCTTTAACTAAGATTCGAAATTTACGTCACCAGTTGGCGCCACGGTGACATGAGGTCTTTTGGAGATTTTGGTTCTTATAATCTAACGAGCGTTGAAATGGATTCATAGACTATGACACGGGTTTGATAGATGTGTAGACTTTTCGGCTCAGTGCTGCCCCCCGGCGCTTTGTAAAATCAACCCGTTTCGTCGGTGTGCACAGTCTGGCTCAGCTTTTGATATTATGCTCCACTTTAAAGTACCACAGACCGAACGAGCATTTAAATTGATCCATAGACTATGACGACAAGTGGTTTGACGGATGAGTAGACTTTTCGGCTCAGTGCTGCCCCCTGGCGCTTTGTAAAGTCAACCTATTAAGCGACGTGCGCCGTCTGGCTCAGCTTTTGATATTGTGCTCCACTTAAAAGTACCTAAGAAACCATAGACTCGGAATTGATAGGATAATTATTGTTCTTTGTTCACGGAAACTAGTTAGTGGAACATTTTCTTTATCAAACAATCGCTTACAAAAGACAAACAGAAAAGATTAGCTTTCGACAGTAAAAGCTCGTTTGATGGAAAATAGAGTACAGATAGAAGTAGGCAACACTTATTTCATATTGTCTGTGCACACATTAATTACGTTTAATATTTTCATTGCTTTTAATTTTTTTAGAAATATACTTACCTATAATGATATCAGGACTTCATTATTAGTATTTTTCTCATAAATTAAAATGCATAATGTAACATTTAAAATTTAATTAACATCCAATATTTAAGTAATAAAAATTATACATACAATAAAACTGTAAATTAAAAAAAGGGATAATGAAAATAATGAAAAATATAAAAAAATATAAAAGTACAAATGTAATAAAACTGTAAATAATAACAAAATAAATTATGTAATTTTAGTACTAGAGATACTAATATATATAAAACAGCCTTTTTTTTTGTAAATCGTATACAAGAGACAAACAAAACATTAAATTAAATAACAAGATTAACTTTCCATACGATAACGATCACTTCTTTCAGCTCTACCCAGAACAACATAAGTGGGGCGAGCAGCAAACTATTCTATTATATTTATGCGCTGTCTTGCATTGCAGCATAAGAAATAGTAGCAGAAATTCGAACAGGATCATTCGCCCGGACTGCGGAATACGCATATTCGAGTCCTGCCTGATTCGGTGCATAAGGCATACGGAAATGGAGCAGCGCACGCATCACTCATATGTATATTAGTGTCAATTCTTTCATGATTCTCTAAACTTAAAGCTAAATTTAACACCAGTCTTTCCTTTTCATTCTAGTAGTCAGCGGGAGGGTGGGTCCTGGTGACCTGTGTCACAGGTTTCACTGAAACCTAATTCAGGCACCAGTCTCTCACAATACTATAACATATTGTAAACCACAAGTGGTATACCACAATGAACTTTTTTTCATGTGAGAGAAAAATAAATAATGATTGATTGATTGATTCTGTATAGAGCATGACAGAGATACACTGTTGTCAAATTTAAGTTTAGGTTTAGAGAATTATACTAGAATCGATACATTGTCGCGTGTAAGGCTCGCGACGTTCGTAGCGATTCAGCCTTCGCCGAGTTACCCTCCAACTTTCCTGGTCGCCAGGAAGAGCTGCGCACGCAGCCCACACACACACCCACACACTCACACACACACACACCCACACACTCACACACACACACACACACACCCACACACTCACACACACACACACACACATACATACATACATATTTATAGTCCTATGACGCTCGAGAAGCATTTTCGTTTCATATTTTCCATAGGATTTGTCCATTTACACCACGTCGAAAAAAGTTTCACTTCTTAAGAAAATCTATTATCAACTACGTACTAACCTACAGTGGCGGTCGGTTTGACGACCACCGACACGTTGCTCCTATCTTGATCCTCCCTCACGGTGGCATTGACGAACTTGCGCACTTTGTACGGGTCCAGTTCGACCACGTACACGTCCCGTCCGTCCGGCGATACGGCAACGTCGTGCGGGTTCCGTAAACCGCCGTCCGGCGCGAAAGTGCCGACTAGTCGGCCGGAGTCGTACTCGATCACGTACCCGCGTACCGGCACCGGCACTGTGCCGTACGGGCCGTTCACCACGTACAGACGCCCGCCTGTTTGGGGAACGAGTAAATCACTGTTAGAATCCATATTACTGTTATTTACAATAGGGACGATGACTAATTGTATTTTCTCCGTAGATTATCAAAAAGTATTCGACACGTATTGGCGTGGAGTCAAGGAGGGGTACTGTAATGCTTTATCCTGAAGGGAAGCCCTGGGAGTGTAGCTTTATTATCATTATTACAATAAGAACACTTACGATGCTCAACTTTATTTATTTTAGCTCAAGAAAATTACATACATTTACTATCAACAGCTGTTTTCTGTGCCTGAATTCTATCTGCTGGGATGGGATCTGCTGCTTCCGCTGGGAAGCACACCACGCCTATACTTACCCAGCGCGGGCGAGTAGGCGACGCTGAACAGCCGCGAGCCGATCAGTTCGTGCGCATACGAGTGAGCGAACGTTCCGTTATCCGCTCGGAAGCACACCACGCCTATACTTACCCAGCGCGGGCGAGTAGGCGACGCTGAACAGCCGCGAGCCGATCAGTTCGTGCGCATACGAGTGAGCGTACGTTCCGTTATCCGCTCGGAAGCACGCCACGCGGCCGCGTTCCCTGTCAGCCACGCACACTGTCCCGCGGTCCTCCGCCAGCGTCAACGCGTGCGGAACGTTCAGTGAGAAATGGTCGAGGCCGTGCGCTGCAGGTGAAGAAATACCAAAATTACATCACACATCACATTTAAGCAAAAATCTACGTTAATGTTTTGAAATTGTTGTAACAAAATAAGCTTATGGTGGGTCAGGAATGAATTGTCTGATAATACATTGAATAATTATGAAGCCAAAAACAAAAAACGGCATTAAAAGGAACTTTCTCACAAAGACAACTTCCCCTTGGAGAAACCTGGTGTATACAAGATCGACTGCAACTGTGCTGTGGTAGTTCGTATATTGGCCAAACGAAGCGGACAATAGCGTGCCGTATGATAGAACACATAAAAGCAGTCAGAAATAATGACACGCAAAATTTTGACATCGCGGAACATTTAATTGATTCGGGTCCTAATCACTGGATTGAGCTTCATAGTCAACAAATTATTTCGACAGAACGCCACTGCATACCAAGATTGGTCAGGGAAGCGATTGAAATAACCAAACAAGAATTTCAATCGTGAGGATGGGTTCAAATTGTCAAGTGTCTGAAATCCAATGGTTAGTATGTGTAAATGTAAAACCGCAAAAATCGAGTGTTGCCTCGCGATCTGATACTGTGAGTATTGTGTGTCGGGAACAATTGCGAGTAAATAGTGAGAATGTGACCAGTGGTAGGGGTATCGAACGCAGTAAAAGACGACGTCAGAGGTAGACCGATCTGTCTGCCAATAACATCTACCCGCAATTACTTCAGTTACTCCGTGATCACGGCGCTTGCAACAGTGCCGAAATATCGGAGACTCATAAAAAACAAGGTACATGGTAACAATCCTGTTAATAGCTATAACACCTAAAATAACATCAGATATAGCGAAATATCCAACGCGATATTAAATACCCTAGATACACCAACACGAACAAAATCATGCCCGAAACCTGTCCAAATGGTACATTGAACGACCCACGGAGCTCCGTAAGATGATCGCAGTCTAAACAATAAAAGGCATTATTTAAACATTGAAAATCACCTTTAAAGCACACTACATAAGGTCTTAATTAAAACGCATGCGTCAAAGAGTTATGACATCGGTCTTTGACTCTGCGCGCAATTCTGAATGCGCTGTTAGCAATATAGCAGGTGCGGACCGCGAGGAAAGAAGACAGCTATATTACCGACCATGCATTTGAATATCACAAATATTTTCTATTAAATCAATTTATAGTAAATATTAAACAAAAAAAGGAACAAACATACATATATAGAGTGTTAAATACATAACCCTGTCTGCGCGTCGCGCTTCGCGCTCTTGCATTGCGCAGCCGGGTAAAAAAATGCTTCAAAAGCGTTAAATTAATAAATATTGATTAGATACCTGTCGAAAAACGACATTTCACATACTATGAGTATTTATTTCGCTTTCACGGAGCTCAGAGGCAAGTTGACTTTTGAACGGTCCGCCCGTGACTGAGAACCAAGAAGCACTTCTTGATAGGGACACATTTTGAGCACACGTGGTGTATCTAGGGTATTTAATAACGTTGGAAATATCGCTTAAAACGACTTATAATCGAATGGCCTACCGTTTTACTTGTTCCAGCAAAACAATTCAACAGCAAAATTTCTTCCTAAGATAAGATAAAAACTCTTTATTGTACAACACACTAACAAAACAAGCAGATACAAAACAAGTAGAAAAATACAACATCGCACAAAGGGCGGTCTTATCGCTAATGAGCAATTTCTTCCAGACAACCCAATGAGCTGGAAATAAAATAAGGTAAGCGAGTAAGGGAGGTTGTGCGGAACACAAGGCAAAAGTTTTCCTGATAATTAGATAAGAAGAAGACGAAAAGGGGGGGAAAAAAAAGTAAAAAAATAAAGAAAAATACAATACAATAACATAAATTTAAATATATAGGTAAACATAAATACTCAGATACTTCACAACGCTACCGAAACCGGTAAGTTCTAATGCAAGATTTATGAAAAATTAAGTTCCACCGACAAAAAGTGCTCCTTAACTAGAGACTTAAAACAGTCTAAAGTTTGGGCACGCCTTATCTTTTCGGGCAGGGAATTCCAGAGTTGGATAGCATGTACTGTAAAAGAATGGCTATACGCCTTGGAAAAGTTAGGAGGAGTGAAAAGAAGAAGATTGTTAGATGAACGAAGTGGAAGATTATGGGAGGAAGATAGAAACTGAAAACGTTCTTTGAGGTAAACAGGAGCTTTTGGATTGAACAGTGCTGAGAAAAGTAGGGATAATACATGTAGATCACGGCGACGACGAATGGGAAGCCACTTTAATTTTTGCCTGTAGTAAGAAACATGATCGTACTTACGCAAACCATATATGAACCTCATGGAAAATTTTTGCAGTCGTTCCAGTTTACTAAAAAGATCAAAGGTAAGATAAGGATAACAAACATCTGCATAATCAAGAATTGGTAGAAGAAGGGAAGTTGCAAGAGAAATTTTGGTGGCAGTAGGCAAAAAGTTACGCAAACGCCGCAAAGATCCGGCTGCAGCGAAAGTTCGTCTACTAACCTCAGCAACCTGATGACACCAAGATAGGGTGCTATCAAATATTCCGAACTGTATCAGAAAATGGGAAGAGTTCCATTCAAAGTAACTGATGGCAGTTGCTTAAAGTCCATCCGTGATATGAAGTAAGGGCTACCAATAATTATGCACTGCGTTTTTGTCGGATTAATTGTTAGTCCAAATGAGTGGCTCCATTCTGTTATAAGTGGTAAGTCAGAATTTAGAATATTAATGGCACTGTTCAAATTTTCTAATCGAGCCCGTGTGTAAATCTGGAGATCGTCTGCATACAGATGACAGGTAGAAGTTAAGTTAAGAGTAATGGAATTGATGAAGATAGCAAAAAGCAAAGGAGATAGCACACCGCCCTGAGGAACACCGGCTGTGAGTGTACACCATTGAGAGAAGGATTCACCAACAACTACACGCTGCCGGCGTCCATGTAGATAACTACGAAACCAGTCAATGACCGCAGGAGATATGTTAAGGGAACATAGCAAACTCAACAGGATTTCAAAGTCAACATTATTGAAGGCATTACTAAAGTCTAGTAACGTTAAAGCTGTAAGTTGCAGATTCTCCATGCCAAAGCGAATATCATCGGTGATCTTGACAAGTGCACTAGCTGTGCTATGGCCAGGAGGGAAACCAGATTGTATAGGATTGAGTAAGTTATTCACACGAAGGTATTCACTGATTTGATTGTGTATAAGACGCTCAAGAACTTTTGAAAGGAAAGGTAGAATGGAAATAGGACGGAAATCAGACATACAATCAGGATTGGATTTTTTGGTAAGTGGAATGACTTGAGCATCTTTCCAAATTCTTGGAAAATTGCTAGAGGAAATGGATTGGTAACTTCCTAATAAACTATTTTGATATCTTTTTGTGACATTTTATTTGTAAACAAGTTCATATGCATGACCTATACCCACATTATACTATCGGACATAACATCCGATGTTATGTGGTCCCTTCAATGTTGTTATATCCATTTTTGACTGTATTATAAATTAAGTTTGAACTTGCACAAATATTAATTCTTGCAGTCTAAGGTTAATTTATAAATATACATTCAACAACATTTACTGTAAATTTGCAAAGATGTTATCCATAAATATAACTAATTTGATTTTGTACTCATACCTTTACCCCACTGCAGAATGATCTCCCCCTGTGGAGAGAACTTTAGTATCCTATGGTTACAGTATCCATCTGCCACAAAAAAGTCCCCATTGGCCATTACTGCTACTGAGGTTGGCTTGCAGAAGTGTTCATCATCATTGCCTGGTATAAACCTGAAAAATGTCAGTAACTTACAATAATGCAGTCAAAAATTCTTGAGTCTCAAAAGTTCATAATATTTTCTGCACAGCAATACCTTTGAATTTTATTAAACTTTATTTTTAATATAAATAAGTCATTTAATAATAAAGAAGAAGAACTTTTTTTGGCATGTCAATTGGGTTACAATGATTTTTTATTTGTTATTATTAAGTCTTTATCCCGCAATTACATTTGGTTGTTAGCTCTGTTCGGGTGCACTAAAGACATTACCTGAATTTGAGCACCAGAAGCAATATTTACACTAGTATATAGGCTGGAAGACAGTGTATGGTATACTCAACTCTGTTCATTTACACTTAGGCCCATATTACAGAATGACTACTAAGTGTTGATCTTTACTTGAGTACAGTTAGACAGGGATATCGCTACATGCTATATATAGCGACATCCCTTTCTAACTATGCTATATATATTTCTATAATACAGCCCTTAGTTGTTTACCTGAATTCCATTGGCACTCTTATTCGGGCTAACGACCAAGTGTAATCGCTATATTATGTAAGAAATTATAACTTACTTTTCACCTAACACTAGAGCTGGCTTGTCTTTTTGGTCAGGTGTGAATTTAAATACTTGATGAAGTGCTACATCTGTTACCCAAACATTTCCATTGCTATCAACAGTGATTCCATGTGGTATGTAGAAACTGAAATATTAATGTTGCATACAACACATTATGTAGCTCATTCGAATCAATCATAAAGGCATTGCTATATATTTTATATTGATGAGTTGTTAAAGTGAAGTCTTTTTTATTCCGCCTTATTACAAAACAGATTAAAGTTAGACATGGACTTAAACTGACGCTGTCACTTTTGTTTGCTAGAACGAAGATAAGGAAAACATTCAAGTTAAAACCAATTCTAACTTTTATGTGCATTTTGGAATAAGAAGGCAATGCCAGGGAGGATTTACTTAGTATTTTTTTTTATTATATGAAATTAACATACCTACAAAAAGCGGACTATTAATAATAAATGTTGAAAAATTATTTTACACTTACAGGTTTTTTCCCCACATATCAATCAGTTCACCAGTTTCATTAAAAACTAGAATGGTTGGCTGTGATATAGGGGGTTCCCCTATAGATTGGTAAACATTCCGTTCAGAAAAAGTTGTGGCATCCCAAACATTTGTGGCACGATGAAACACTAAGACATGACTGGCTCCATCTAGGGCTACTCCTGATACTTGCCCTAATTTGACAGGCTCTGGCCATTCTTTCATCCACTGCAAAGCTAATCATAACAAATAACTATAATGTTGAGAATATTCAAGGATAAATTTTCTAATTTTATATAGAACATTCACTTACAATGGTCAAGCTTTCCAAGGGCTGTGTTAATCATGGATTCCAACCCCAAATTTTGGTTATAATTATTTCCATAATAGTCTTGATATTGAACCTGAAAGTACGTAGGTTAACGTAAAGAAATATTTCCCCTTCAAATTTTTAATTAACTTTGAGAAGTAATACTTACTCTGCGAGCATGGAAAGTTGGAATATTTGAAAAAAATAGGGCTACATATATTATGTCTGTGAAATAGCGCAAATAGCTCATTTTAAATTCAGTTTTTCCTCTCGCTATAGTTAAATTAGCAGTACATTTTGTCTATTTGAAATTGACATCCACATGTATGTATTTATGAATGCTTCCCGTTTTCGGATTATTTTTTTAACAAATCAAAATTTCCAGCAAACTTGATGTCATAAATTGATGACGTATGCAGGAGGGAGTAGCGATGCGAAAAACGGCTTAAAATTATTCAACGCTTAAACGTTGTGCTTTTTTTAAAGCACGCTTATAAAGCAGCTTTTCGTGTAAACGCTTTTTTTAGTATGTTGTGTTTGTAAAGCGCTTTGACAAACGTTTAAATATATAAACCTGCTCCCCTAGCATGAGCACCGCAATATGATATGTCGCAATATCATTCGGTTTTATCACGCTCAAATGTCATATGACTATGGAATTTGGCAGTAAGACGCAATAAAAAACCTGATATAAGGTTCAATGCGATGCTCATGCTAGGGAGGCTGCCCCCCTAGCATGAGCACCGCGATATGATATATAACGCGTTTTTACAACGCTCAATTGTCAAATTACTATGGAGTTTGACGTTAGACGCGATAAAAAACGTGATATAATGTGTTGTAGTGCTCATGCTACAGGGACAGTACCCCTAGCACGAACTAATATCGAATTCGTATCGTTTGCGAGTTCGATATGTCATTGTCAAATATGTATGTACTGATTTTTAAGCCCACCATTCACTATACGCACCGCGAGCCGAACTCCGAGCCGTACCCATCCGTGGACAAATCCGTCATTGCCCACACACTACACGAGCGCCAAGTTGCAGTCCAGTCGCTTGTGTACTTTGGTGAGCCTCGCGCGTATCGTTCTTCCCTACCCTACCATGCCACCGGTGCTTTCCAAATGCACAAAAGTCGCTTTAGTAGTCGGTGCAATACTTTTAACGGAGAATAAAAAGAAAAAGAGCGTCTGAACAAAGGAATGGCTGAAACAACGAACAAAATATACTCATTTAAAATTTCTGCAATGCATTCAGTCCTGTAAACCACCTGTTTCTCTTTAGTTTTCTCTTTAAACAGCAGGATAAATTCTTGCCAAAACTCTTTATGATCGCCGAACGACATGTTAGTATACTCGTTTACTCGTTCGTGATACAAACAACACAACTGCAGGCCAATTATGCTCGCTAATTGTGATATTGTTTTGATGTCAATTTCACATTACGCAATTTACGCATTATGCTCTCCGAAAAATGCGATATCAAAATGACATCAACTTGACATCAACTTTAAAATGATATCAACATAAATGCGTATTACGTTCAAATTTTTGACATAAAACAGTATCGCATAAACGTCAAAAATGTGATACAGACTTAACAAGTTAGGAGGTGGTTTTTCTGCATCAAATTTCTTTATTTTTTAATAAAAAAGAGTAAAATGGCTCGTATCGTGTTAGTAATGGACTATTTAGAACGTGCTCATGCCGAGGACATGCGTAGAAGAGATAAACCCCTTGTAGAAGAGATACAATTAGCTCTTTATGTTCGCTAATTGTGATATTGTTTTGATGTCAATTTCACATTACGTATTATGCTCTCCGAAAAATGCGATATCAAAATGACATCAAATTAAGCGTATTATGATCAACTCTTTAAAATGATATTAACTTGATATCAACTTAAGAGGTGGTTCTGCGTGCACGCACTACAAATGACTGACAAGTTCGCCGACAAATTTGTGTAAGCACACACACGTACGGATTTGTACAGCGCGGCTGGGGTGCGGCGCGGCGCTCGCGTCTCTCGACGGCGAGTGCCGCGCCGAGCCGCGAGCCGCGCTCACCGATACATTCACACGCGGATTTGTCCGGGGACTTGTCGCCAGCGACAAATCCGGCGAATTGGCGCGCCTGTGAATGTTAGGCTTTAGTTCTCGTTACGTACTTTGTGCCGCTGCTGTTCAAGTTTCCCTACAAAATTTGACATTGACATTTCGGTTTGCAAACTTTTCGAATTCGATAATGGTTCGTGCTAGGGGTACTGATGTTATGTTGTCAACGATAAACGTAAAATTCTTCATCTAAAAGTAGTAACTTAATGAAAATGTTAAGGCAGTTGATAGATTTTTCATTTAAAACTGATTGTGTAGTTACTAATGTCCACCCATTTGTTTATATTTATTTGTTTATGTAAAGATTAGTATGTATAGTGCAGGACATGTGGTGTTGGTGGTAAAAGGTCCTCTCGAATCTGTATGTGAATTAATAGAGTTTGTATACAGTACCTATTTAGGTGCTTACAAGTTAAATGCACAATAAAAAGGTAGCAATAACCCTACAACGTAAAAAACTTTTTTGTCAAAAATAAATACCAACTGCATACAGGCAAAACCACAAAAAATAAGAAATGATGCTTATCGTTTCTTTAGCTACTAAATATTAATAAAGATTTAAGTAAAATTAAGTAGTAAACGACAACTCGGTTTTAGGCACTGCCTCTAAATGTTGTAAATTTACTTTTATTTATTAATATCAAATCATTAAAATCTGTCTACAAATTTCAGAGTTCTGAGGTAACAAACATAAAAATATATAGTCGTAGTGTACTCACTACCTCTACCCTTTTTAAAGTACGTTGTAATGTATAATTAATCTGTTAATTTAAAGTATCAAGTCTATTTTGTCCGTTACAAATTGGTGTTTAAAGCAACAGAATTTTAAAATTCGCCACCCTTTTGGAGGGTCATGATTCATTAGACAGACATTTGTGTTGATTCTGGCGTGATTCTCCAAAATTAAAACAAAATTTAACGACAGTCTCTCCTTTTCATTCTGTATAGAGAATGACAAGGGTACGCTGTTGTCAAATTTAAGTTTAGGTTTAGAGTAACATGCTAGAGTCGACACCACTGGTTGCTTTCCAATTACAGAGCATAATGCGACTCAGTGCCGCACAATGCTGAATTATGCTGATGCGTAATTGGAACGCAAATTAGTTTTCAAATGCACCAGCAGAGTGCGCTAAGTTCAGTATTGAAAAAAAAAGTCAGTGTTTGTACCTTCATCCATACTTATATTTATTTTTTAACAGTTTGAATGAACTTTGATTATTTAAAAAAAACTATTTAATGAAACGTAAGCTTTAATAATTTTTCAACAATAAATAATATTACTAACGATAACATATAAATAAAACATTTCGATCAATGCCAACTTAAAGAAAAAACACTTGTCAATTTTCTGTCTCTAAGTTGGTACGATTGCACGCATCACACGAAAGCATCACTTTTGAGAGTGCTTAATTGTGCGAAGCGTTGCTGTAGTTGGAACACTCAACGTTAAGCATTATGCCGCATAATGCGCTATAATGCTGTAATTGGAAAGCAACCACTATGTACTTCACAAAGTTTAATTAAAAAGTGCGTCTATGGATTATTTTACTGCGTTATAAGGGCAACATTGTTTTTTTATGACGGCAATTAGTATGACATGTTGTCAATGTCAAACAGCTGTCAGTAAAAAGAAAATCGACATGGAGTGTTGGACGTGTCCGTAAAATAACAAATCCTTTTTTTAGTTAATTGTAATGTTCTCAACACTTTAAAGTTGGTTCGATTTGAACACCAGTTACGATTATGTTAATTTCGCGGAAAAGTTTGCTTACTTTAAATTTGCTGCGGAATCATGGACGAGGTAGGGTTTAGGTTACATTGTTTTGTTGTGTCACTTCAAGAGCTCGGATTGCGTGATAATTTGTAACCGTATGTTTTTTGCAGGAGCCTAACGAGCATGAGTTGGAGGAGAGGCTATATTCTATGCTACATTATGTCGACGAAACACAGCCAAGCGTCGATAATGCAAATCAAAATACCACCGTAAAGTTTGTTGAAAATGTACCACGGAGCACCTTCCGTCGTTACTGGCGCTCTAGTGGCGACCAACCCACTAACCCCCAAACGGTAAACACTCCCAAAGAAGGCGTTCCAGCCCAAAATGTCTCGAATTTGCCAACATCAAACAAAAACAACAACAATATAAACATGGACCCAAAACCGAAAGAAGAGAAAAGTGGCACCCCAAAAATACTGCCGGCCGCAGATCTGTCTATTTTTCAATTAGCTCCACGAATTTTAAAGAAAACTATTGAAATACTTGAAACTGAGAACCATACTATGCTGCTGGATTCAAGTGACGAGGATGAGGTCGTTGAGGTTAAACTACCTCCTAAGCCAACCATTACCATTGAAAGCTCTGATGAAGATGAAGTTTGCATCATTGATAAACAAGACAGTATACCACGTACTGTAACCGAAAACACTATATTGAATACTGGAAATCGGGAAGTTTCAGCAAGCCCAGTTCCATCAGTTGTGTCATCCGTGTCAGATGAATTCATTCGTGGTGACTGTATTGCATTGAATATTTCATCAAAGAATCAAGGAAACCACAGTTTTGATTTCAGTTTACATGGTTCAGACTTGCTTGGACAAGAGACACCTACTAAGAAAAAGAAAAAGAACAAATCAAAAGAAACTGCAACATCTACACCTACTAATACTGCACAAGAAAAATCTACTAAGACTAATAGTCCTACTATTGCTGACACATGTTTTGCCACACCAAAAAGCAAAGCTAAGAACAAGAAGCAAAAATCAAAATCATATGTTGTTACAGAGATCAGTGTTCCCAATGCTGATGTTTATGATTCAGACAGCAATCAATCTGTTATTGATTCAAACAAAAAACAAGTCGCTTATTCTGTTACAGAGAAGAGTTTTCCCAATACTGATGTTTATGAATCTGATTCGAGTCAATCTGAAACTTGTAAAAAATCAAAAACTGATAACATTGTGGGTAGTAGTGAAAGCCTCATATCTCTTGATTTATCAGAAATAGAATCGAACATAATGAACAACTCCAACTGTTCCATTGTCGATCTGACAGAGAGCGACAACTATATAACACTAGACAGTACAGGCATAACGGAAAGCATTGAAATGGGAAATGTTACTGGGTTTCAAGAATCTGAAGACTATGGGGATGATCCAATAATCCATGGTGATAATGCACCAAAGTTAGGTTCAACAAAGGTACCACAGATATTGTTTGAAAACCTTGATTTTGACAATCTGAAAGGAAAGGATAAAGTGTGCAAGGGAAGGAGATACTCTTTAACTACTCTGAGGGCAGAGATGGAGAAGTTTTATAACGAGAGTTGGGGCGGAGAAGATTTTAATCACCGTGAAATCCAGAAATATATGTCCCGTAAGTAAATGTTTCATATTATTTTAATGTATTGTTACTAAGACTTGTATGGAAGTAAAATGAACTGATCATTGTTGATTGCAGGTGACAAGAACTTATGGGTAATTGATCCTAAAGATAGAATGCCTACATTGTCAAAGAGGAAAGCAATGTATGTATTAAATACAATAATTCACATTAAATTATTTTTTGATAAAAGTAAACCATGTGCCATTCATTGGTTGCAATTACGTAAACTCTGTTGTTGTAAACAAATCGAGTCATTTGAGTGCTTTTCTTATCATACAATCTCTGAAATGGAGAAGACCGAGCTTTTTTGTTTTGTTCATTTCCAAGAATGAAGAATGACCATAAAAAATTATTTAGAATTCATTTAGAAAAAATTAAATTAGCTTTAAATAGCTATAATGTTTCATAAAGTTAATGGCCAGCGTGCCATGAAAGATTGTAAAATCTCCACCACATGAGCCATAAATACATTATTATGGTTTCTAAAGTTTTTTCTCGATTTTCTAAATATTTAGAAAACTATGATACCTAAAACCTCGGAAGTTTTAATGAAGGTTTTTTATGGTTATTGTGTTTCCAAGAGTGTAAAAAAATACGGATGACCGCAACTAAGGCCAAATAACACACTGTGCGGCGCGGCGTCGTAACCGTGAAAGGCGCACCAGAGTGCGGTACGTTATCGCGTCTTGCAGAGGTGCCGTGATATGTTGAATGGATGCATGGTACGGCGCTGCGTCGCGTGCAATGCACGGCAAGGCAACGTCGCCACCGTATACTGTACGATGCGGCAAAATGCCGCACACTAAGTATTCCGCGTTGTTTCACGTTTACAACTCCGCATCGTGGTCATGTCGTCAGGCCCATAGCCATTGTAATGTAAGACCGTGCTTATTTATATCAGCCAATAATAAATATAATTTGCAGATGCAACTACTGCAACCGCTCTGGTCACCGCGACGACACGTGCCGTATGAAGCCGCCCGTGTGCTACATGTGCGGTTCCACAGGGCACTACGAGCCACGATGCCCTAGCAAAATATGTGTCAACGTAAGTAGAATGTCTGAGCTTCGTGTTATATTAATGGTTTTAAATAGTTATTACTAAAATGCGAAGTTCATCTTAATAAAATCCTTTGATGTGCGCGAGATTACCGACCGAGTGACCGTGATTTATGGCGGTTTATTAGCTCTGCTTACTCCACCCGGGACACGGCGTTAAAATAGAGTTTACCGATAGCGGAGCGAAGTAACATCAACTTTGGCTGAAGTGCATGCTACATAAATCCTAAAATCTCTAATATTCTGGTTATTGCGATAAGTGGGGAGTGGGTAGGCAGGAAAAATAAAATAGGAAACAAGTGTAAAGTAAATGTATTTTTTAATTTATGTATATTAAGTAAGGGTACTTACACACATAATCTGGCCGTCATAGGCGGTTCGGCAGTCTTTGCCAAAAAACTTCCGGTCGAAAGTAATTACTGCACTTATTCGGCTTCATTCGGATCGACACATCATTCGATTCGGCAGTACTTGTGGAACGAAAAAGCCCACCCCTAGCAACTACAAACGTTCAGCTCCAATCGGTTCTGTTTTCATTCGGTCGTCATTGCTCGGCTTACAATCTTCATTGTCACGATTTTGAATGCCACTTCGCATGCAAATACTTCGGAGATTTCGCAGTAAAGAGCCGGTAACAACAAAACCTGCAGAAACTAAAATTTAAACCGAGCGGGGTGTGATTCCCGAACATATGTAATTCGGTTTTACCGCCCGGTCTTACCGATGACTGCCGGGTCGCTGATGCTGCCCGCCCATTGTGAGCCGAGCGGTCTTTTCTCGAACATTCATCTATATGTATTCGATATTACCGTGCGGCTGTGCCGATGAATGCCGGTCCGCTTGTGTGTGTAGCTACCATAATAGCTAAAGAAAACAGAAAAAAATCTACCTTTTTTTTCCTTTTTAGTGTGGTTCCCCGAACCACATGTACTCATCGATGTGCCGCAACTGCGCGTGGTGGGCGCGCATCACCTGCGCCGAGTGCGGACAACGAGGTCACCCGACAACGCACTGCCCTGACCTGTGGCGCCGCTACCACAACACGGTGAGACATTATATCATTATGTATGCGGACAACGAGGTCACCCGACAACGCACTGCCCTGACCTGTGGCGCCGCTACCACAACACGATGAGACATTATATCATTATGTATGCGGACAACGAGGTCACCCTACAACGCACTGCCCTGACCTGTGGCGCCGCTACCACAATACGGTGAGACATTATATCATTATGTATGCGGACAACGAGGTCACCCGACAACGCACTGCCCTGACCTGTGGCGCCGCTACCACAACACGGTGAGACATTATATCATTATGTATGCGGACAACGAGGTCACCCGACAACGCACTGCCCTGACCTGTGGCGCCGCTACCACAACACGGTGAGACATTATATCATTATGTATGCGGACAACGAGGTCACCCTACAACGCACTGCCCTGACCTGTGGCGCCGCTACCACAATACGGTGAGACATTATATCATTATGTATGCGGACAACGAGGTCACCCGACAACGCACTGCCCTGACCTGTGGCGCCGCTACCACAACACGGTGAGACATTATATCATTATGTATGCGGACAACGAGGTCACCCGACAACGCACTGCCCTGACCTGTGGCGCCGCTACCACAACACGGTGAGACATTATATCATTATGTATGCGGACAACGAGGTCACCCTACAACGCACTGCCCTGACCTGTGGCGCCGCTACCACAACACGGTGAGACATATCATTATGTATGCGGACAACGAGGTCACCCGACAACGCACTGCCCTGACCTGTGGCGCCGCTACCACAACACGGTGAGACATTATATCATTATGTATGCGGACAACGAGGTCACCCGACAACGCACTGCCCTGACCTGTGGCGCCGCTACCACAACACGGTGAGACATTATATCATTATGTATGCGGACAACGAGGTCACCCGACAACGCACTGCCCTGACCTGTGGCGCCGCTACCACAACACGGTGAGACATTATATCATTATGTATGCGGTCAACGAGGCCACCCGACAACGCACTGCCCTGACCTGTGGCGCCGCTACCACGACACGGTGAGACATTATATCATTATGTATGCGGACAACGAGGTCACCCGACAACGCACTGCCCTGACCTGTGGCGCCGCTACCACAACACGGTGAGACATTATATCATTATGTATGCGGACAACGAGGTCACCCGACAACGCACTGCCCTGACCTGTGGCGCCGCTACCACAACACGGTGAGACATTATATCATTATGTATGCGGACAACGAGGTCACCCGACAACGCACTGCCCTGACCTGTGGCGCCGCTACCACAACACGGTGAGACATTATATCAATATGTATGCGGTCAACGAGGTCACCCGACAACGCACTGCCCTGACCTGTGGCGCCGCTACCACAACACGGTGTAACATTATATCATTATGTATGCGGACAACGAGGTCACCCGACAACGCACTGCCCTGACCTGTGGTGCCGCTACCACAACACGGTGTAACATTATATCATTATGTATGCGGACAACGAGGTCACCCGACAACGCACTGCCCTGACCTGTGGCGTCGCTATCACAACACGGTGAGACATTATATCATTATGTATGCGGATAATGCGTTGCTTTCAAATAATCTGACATTAGAATCACGCACACATTGCGCGTAAAATCAAAGTGTGCAAGGGAAGTAAACAAAAAAAAAGTAAAAAAAGTAAAAAAAAGTGCAATAAACCATTTTCTTTGCGTGGTTTATTCAGATCCCTCTATCTAATTATATACAATATTAAAAGATAATACGTAACTTTACCTTACACGCGTTACACATTATTTTTGTGCTGACTCCGTCATACAAAGTACAGTCAGTTAACTTCATAAAGATCGTAGTGCGAAAACTGATCAAAATTATCTAAGGTATACACATTCAATTTTATATATATTATGCTGTTAGACTATCTTTTCGTTGTAACCATTTCGAGTGGTAAATTTTAGCTAAACTAAACAACGCAATTCCCATACAAGATGTAAATGTCATGTAATTAAACTAAGTATTTATAATAATAACTTGTCATATATGATATCTAAGTTATCAAAAATAACTTGGTAGTTAATAACTTTGAATGCAAAGATATAATTGAACCTTTGCTCCTAACGTCTATTTGATCTTGTCACCTCATTTTTTTATGAAGCTGACTGCTCAATCGAAAAATTCTCATTTTTTGTAACGCTATAATATACACACAATATAATCGGATGCAAATAATCTTCAACTGAAACCACTTACTCACAACTGTACTTAAATTATATGTATGTTCTCCAACAGATCGACACCAACACTCCTCTAGTCGAAAATCGGCAGACGAAGAAGAATCATCAATTACATTGCAGCGGCTGTACTCGACGCGGTCATCTCGTACACACTTGCAGAGTGACCTTACCTTTCTCCGGGCTACCCATTAATTCCCCTTATGTGGCCCTTTACCGACCCATCTACGTCTCAGATACGCAAAATCTCGAGAAAAACCAACGTGACACCACCATAACCTCTGTGACCACCCCTCGATCCGAGAGCAACAAGCGACAGTCCAAATCCCCTGCCATGCACGAAAAGTACCCCAATAAGAAGAAACACATGTCCATCACAGAAGTCCCAGAAGAAAAACCCAAAAGCGACGACTCGAGGCAAAGGAAAAACTCCGTCGGTAAAAATACTGATAATACCACCAAACTGAACAACAGTGCCGCGGATACTGTTCAACAGCAAACCGTAGAACCCGCCCCTGACTATATTCCGATCACGTCGTCCGCAAACCACGACAAGAAAGGACACATGATTCAAGACAACGAAGTGTCCGACACAAGCGACGTGATCACCTCGGCCAGGATTTACGTCACCAGCGATGTCGTCGAGAAAATCAATTCCCAGGATGGCGAGAAATGGCTGAAAGAAATGTCGGAAAAACTCAATGTCACAGTCGGGACTTCCGGTGTTAATTTGTTTCTGACTATTAAAGGAAAAGCTGTCGATCAAGAAGCTTTCCAGAGGGAACTGAGAGAATGGTTGAGACACATTCCCAGAAATGATGCAGAGCAACTCACGAGGCCCGATGCGCACGGTGACGGTGTACAGAAAAGTGACCAAGACACTACTCTCCTCATAGACAACATACCGAAGAAGAGATATTTTCTTTTACAAAAACTGACTCGAGCCCTCGACTCTTTAAAAGATGATCTGGGCGATCCTGAAGCTATTTACAAAGAGTTGAGCTATCTTCAGAACCGCCACGAGCAACTTCTCAAACAGAAAGTCGTGAGTCCGAAGCAGTTGTGCAACAATAAGGAGAACATCAACCGTATGTTGAAAACACTGAACACGGTCCTGCTCGGGCAGGTAGGGCTCGCCGAAGGGCCCGAACACCTGGACAAGTTGTACTCTCTACACGAGAAGATTACCAATACCAGGCAGAAGATTATACCCGTGGATGTACGCAGAGAGGTAGGACAGCACTACCGAACGATATTCACCTCCATTCCCCGGAACGATTACGTGGAGCTGTTGAAAAAGTACCGCGGTACTAAGCAACCCAAGACGCTGCACAAGAAAAACAAAGTGCAGTTCAATGCTAAAAAGAAGACGATGTTGAATAAGAACTTCGTGCAGACGGCTCCAGCGAAGCCGGTTCAGCAACAGAAAGCACCCAGCGGTGTTTCGTCCAATGATCGGTTTCATTTAGCCGCAAACATCGCAATGGTGCCTTCCCAGATTATGCCATCGGTGGACGCCAGTAAATTTGCGACCTACCACAAAAGGATCTGTAACAGTCGCCCGTCCGGCGGCGCCCTCAGGAAAGAACGGATGGATTTGCTCAGAAAGCTACACTCGTATCTGGCAATGTTGAAGAAAAACGAGAAGATATCTTCCAAGTCGGTGAAGAAACTGATGAGGATCCAATCGCGGGCGGAGATCTTCTTGAGTAATATGTAGCCCTCGTCGCCGCGAGTCCCGGATCACGAGTATTCGGATATTTTATGTTTTATGACTCGCCGGCCTGTGTAATAGCACTATATTGTGCATGTGAATTAAACGTCTTAGTGTAAAGCATCATAAAACTTCTTTTTATTTATGAACATCCGAGTCGCTGTGCAGTAAACGTATGCGATTGCTGTCCACCTGACAGTTGCTGCGCATACTTGCACCTGCTGCTAACTTCACAACCGCCATGAAGTTTGATTCGCACCATACGTTTGCACTTGATACACAGCAAAAGGAGCGGTAGCAAAAGGAGCGGTAAAAGTCTGTAAACTCATGCAAACAAAAAAACGAGCGAGCCTTACAGTAGTCGCGTATGGTGTGTAAAGGGCCTTATTCATTATCCATCTTGTTGGATCCAGCATGCGGGACAGCGATATACACGTAAAAGAGATCCTGTATCTCCATCTCTTTTACGTGTATTAGACCGGGAGATGATGACACAAAATACTTGGTCATTTGTACCAGTATGGCGGTTCTTCAGGGGTCGAATTACGTAAAGGCAAAAAGGAAAATGATGGTCATAGCGCTCGCACCGGCGGCCCAATCGCGTGGGCGTTAATCGAACGCGTCGGATAAATAACGAGTGTCGAACGATTTGTTCCACAAAAATGCTTATATTTTCAGATAGTCGAAAAAAAGAAGTAGGCGGTAGCGTAATGCCATACTTCTCGGGTGTGACTTACAGCCCGCCATACCGACGCGAATACATTAATTTAAATAAAACAATTCAACCATTTGTACCAGGCTAATTTTTGCACAGCTAATCATCGTCGAGTAGCCATTCACGAAAATCACCTTGCCATACTTTTCCGACAGTTCCCAATGGCCGCCATACCGCTGCAAAGGAGTAATTTTTTTTTTCGCCAAACGATTTGTACCACCCTGAAACTTTTTTTAACAGTTCCCCGTATGATCATAAATAGAAGTCTGATAATGCCATACCTGTGGGAGGTGGCGAATGTGAACAATATTTTTTCAAAGTCCCAAGATTTTATTCGTAATTCGAACGATTTGTACCAGTATGGCACTAATTTTTCCTGTAAGTTTGAGGTTTAACGAATATAAATACAAAGTTTCAAACACCTAAGTGGCGGCAATCTTGTCTTATAAGCAGATTTTATGTTGTATAATAATAATAGTATGGGATTATTTTTTTTAGGTTGAATTTTATCCAAATAAACCGAATACAATGATGCCATACTGTAACAAATGATTTTATGTCTTGTACCTTGAAAACGTGTCGAAAAATCAGGATTTTCAAGTATGGCGCCACTTTTTCCCTCTACTACAAGTATGGCAAATATAATAATGGTCACATTGTATCGTATAATTTCCAAAAATCCAAATGCCATACTGGTACAAATCGTCAATTTTTTTTTCTTTTTCACCTTTTAGCTCAAGTCCGACAGTCATCCGCCCCATGTTTACAATCTGTAATATTTTTTTTTACGTACAATTGCATCCAAATGACGAGAATACAATGATGTCATGATGTAAAAAATGATTTTACGTATTTTGCAGTCGTATTTTTAAAACGTGTCAAATAAATAAGTATTTCAAGTATGGCAGCACTTTTTCCCCGTACTAAAAGTATGGGAAAAATAATAACGGTCACATTTTGCCAAATACTTTCCAAAAATTCAAATGCAATACTGGTACAAATCGTTTGGCGAAAAAAAAAAATTACTCCTTTGCAGCGGTATGGCGGCCATTGGGAACTGTCGGAAAAGTATGGCAAGGTGATTTTCGTGAATGGCTACTCGACGATGATTAGCTGTGCAAAAATTAGCCTGGTACAAATGGTTGAATTGTTTTATTTAAATTAATGTATTCGCGTCGGTATGGCGGGCTGTAAGTCACACCCGAGAAGTATGGCATTACGCTACCGCCTACTTCTTTTTTTCGACTATCTGAAAATATAAGCATTTTTGTGGAACAAATCGTTCGACACTCGTTATTTATCCGACGCGTTCGATTAACGCCCACGCGATTGGGCCGCCGGTGCGAGCGCTATGACCATCATTTTCCTTTTTGCCTTTACGTAATTCGACCCCTGAAGAACCGCCATACTGGTACAAATGACCAAGTATTTTGTGTCATCATCTCCCGGTCTATATAGCGCTGTCCCGCATGCTGGATCCAGCAAGATGGATAATGAATAAGGTCCTTTACATTTTAAACCTCACCTTATGTTATATTTCTTTTTTTACCACCGGTAAAAAGGAAAGGTTTTATTTATTTTTTTGCGTTAGTAAAAAAGGAATAAGCCATTTGAACATTATGTTCTAAAATCAAATCAAATAGCGCTTTCGGACATCCTGTTACACACTTCCATCCCATTTTACGGAATCACTCCCACATATTGCAGGAAAGCGAGAGGTAAGACATCAATATGTGGATGCTCATAACGGATTTGTCGAGAATAACATTTTTATTATTCTTAGGTAAGTATTAATAATTAAGAGTTATCGTGGACTCTGGATACTCCTGCCTTCTAGCCCACAGAACACAGAGGTTAGAAGGGTTTTGTGGGCGGGGCTGGCGCGCCACAGATATGTGTCATGTGTGTGGTCATTACTTGACTGAAACTTTGTTCTGATTGCGTCGTTGCTTTCGGTTTTCGCTGATTGGTTTGATTGTTTAATGTCGCGTCGTGTGATTGGCTATTATCTATTAGATGGAAGTGTAGTGGAGGCGAGCTGGCGACATCGGTTCCCGGTCTATGATCACCCTTCTAACCTCTCTGTGTTCTGTGTTCTAGCCTCTGTCCGCCCTAAAGGTTCTGTGTTGAAATAAATTTCTACAAGCTATAAATCATAAATATTTAGTATAGGTAAGTAAGTAACTAGTAATCTAATTTCCATGTTCTGCTTAGTTTGATCTGGCTTCAATAGCAGTGACCTGTTCATTAAAGCTTACAAGCCTTTGCTTGTTGGCCTGAGCCATTGGCCTGTTAAAAAATAATTATTACAAGTACGTGTATATCAAAAGTATAATACATATTTAAATTATGTGTTAAAGTCTTTATTTATATCACAAGTATTTTTTACGAACGTATTCTTGATTTTATTCATCAAAACTTCTTTGTAATCTAAAACTTAAAAAAGTTTATCAAAAAGAATTACAATGTTTTTATTTATTATTTATTCCTTAATCAAAAAATTGTTTTAAGAATGCTTTGATATCTAATATGTTTCTAACACCTATCCAAAGATTATGAAAAAAAAAAAATATTTTTTTCAAAAACGTGTAGCGGGAGGTGCCTGGAAAAAAAATTAATCCATTTTACAACTGTCTATTGCTCATTCATCCAAACCGAATATCAGCGAGTCTCTGAGCTTAGCTGCGGACGGAAATAACGAAACTTCATTCTGTTTCGATTTTAGCATTACAATTAACATTTAAAAGCGTTCAATTTTAGAAATGCTGTAATTTTTTATTGATAAACGTAATTTAAATGAATTTGTAAAAACCGCCTTGTAGTGTGTAACTTGTGAACGTTACTAACAAAACTTGTAAGTTTTGATGAACAGGGCACAGGTCGAATAATGTATTTCCTAAAGCATAGAAAATATACATTTGTTATATTTCCAAATACTTCCATATTTTTGCATTTATCATCGGGGAAAATTAAAAAGGAACATAGGTTATTTTTAAAGACTTTATTTATAAATAATTCTTATAAAAGGTAAGTACCTACCATTAGTTTTTATTTAATTAAGAACATAGTACATTGCTTTGATGGATAATTTTTAGATAAACAAGTCTTCTTCTAAAACACATATTGGTAGTTTCATTAGGTATAACCATTTATTAATACAAATCTAATGTTAAAGGTTCTGCGTTACTGCGGAATCCTGATAAAGATGCCTAAGGAATGAAACCCTTGTCATTCATCTAAAAATGTATCGACTGTCATTTCGGATGGCTACCATACGTTATTAGGGCTAATAAGTTCATGACAGTTAACTTACTTTATACATACAACTTAAGTATAAAAAATGTACAATTTAACAACAAAGTTTTAGGCAAGATTTTCATATAGTTTATTCCATTAGGGTACAGAAAAAAACGTACATAAAAAAAATGTGCATAAATAAAACGACCCCACTGGCTTCAATTGTCGTCAACGCCTTAACGGATTTTTTACACGAGAAAATAAACCGATTTTTTTTCTTTTTTTGGCCATATTGATGATTCTTACATTAAAATAGTAATAATATCAAAAGTTGTAATAGACAGATCGATAGAGTGAAAAAAATTAAACAAAACTGCATTTATGACTCATTTTGTCTTCTAAGTATATCGATATATTCCAACAATTGGGACCAGAGGGGTCGAAAAGATAACATATTGCACATAGTGTCCCTGGCTGGTCTGTCTGTATTTCACAGTTTTGTTCTTCGACATGCGATGGACAGAATTTGTCATGTAACATTCTTCAACCAACCGCCGATGTATTCCCCGACTTTATTCACAGCATCCCTGTAATAAATAAATAAATTTTACACATACTAATCGCTCTGATCCCAAAGTTGCCGGATAAGATACCTAAGATATATTTTATTTATCACACACATCATACAGGTAGGTATAATTACAATAAAATTGGTTTTATATTTATATGCAATAGAAAGTGTGTGATCTGGAGCCTATACTAGGGCGACCCTGTATTTCAGGACTCCAGGTCCCAGCCGCGTTTCTACCTCTGTACTACTTGCTTGTATGTACTGGTACCTACAACTAAAGACAAACACCTTCAGACCCGTGGCGATATAGAAAAGATGGTTCTTGTGCATTGACCGGGTATTGGTTGATAGGGAGTTCAACCCAGAACTTGGAACAGTTTTAAAAGTTTCGTAAAAAATGTAGATTCGCAAAACTTGTAATTTAAGTAGGTACGACAAGGATCTTTATGAAGGTGGTGAAAATTGGAACTGACGGCGCCGTCTTCGTAGACTTCATTGATAGGGAGTTGAACCCAGAACTTGGAAACTTTTTGTTCTATGATGTTCAATCTAGCAATTATACTGCGGCAAGGATCTTTATGAAGGTGGCGAAAATGGGGACTAACGCCGCCGTCTTTGTAAACGTCATTTTTTGTAAGATCCTTATCGCACTGTGAATGCGAATAGGTATATAAATATACCACTAGCGGCCGCCCGCTACTTCATTCGCGTTTACTTTAGTTCTTTGAAAATTCCTTAGGAATTGCCTTAGAATTTTGCCTTGTGTTCCGCACAACCTCCCTTACTCGCTTACCTTATTTTATTTCCAGCTCATTGGGTTGTCTGGAAGAAATCGCTCATTAGCGATAAGACCGCCCTTTGTGCAATGTTGTATTTTTCTACTTGTATTGTATCTGCTTGTTTTGTTACTGTGTTGTGCAAAAGAGTTTTTATCTTATCTTATTTTTACCTGATAGAGGAAGGGTTGCGGCTTCCTGCGCGCGCGTGGGGCAGCGCCCGCAGCACGCGCTCCGCCGCCGCCTCCACGCTGCGCCCGCGCCCCACCCACACCGCCTCGCAGCCCTGCCTGCACCACAACGCTTATAAACACCGACTACACAGCGCCAGCACGCTCCCTCCGAATCCGCTGTCCTAGGCACGTCTTAGAGTACCCCGACGACGAAATCACCCGCGCCGATGCGCCTCCGATTCTTCCCACACAGATGCCTCCGACCTATCATGACCTACGCGCGCGAGTGTTTTCTTCGCCCACGTACCTTCGTCGCGTCTTAAACCATTACAAACGCTACAAAATCGTGTTTTACGCGGTGCCACGGGTTGCCCGTGGTGCGTGCGCAACATCGACTTGCATCGCGATCTCAAGTTAGACTCCATCGCGAAGTATATGAAGGACGCCTCGAGGGGTTACTTCGATAAAGCCAAGCATCATTCGAACCCCTTATTAGTTAAAGCGATTAGTTATCATACGTCCGCCCTCCCGTCCTCCAATCGTAGCTCTCTCTAATTCCGTTGGCCTAGGCACGTCTTAGAGTACTGTAACGTCCGTTACGTTACAGCCTCCTTGTTTAGGTAAACTCTTTGCTCTTGCAATGCCTACGGTTGGCAGTTATATTAAACTGACGAAAGAAATCGGTTGCATCACCTTTTCCGTCGAATGTGGTCCTGGTCTCCATCTTTATAAAAACTACTTCTTTCTTGATAAAAAAATTCTTCACTCGCGGTACTTGAATCTACCCGGCGCCTCCACCATGAGGAGTTCTAGCCAGAGTGGATAGAACTCATGGGACGTATCTACTAATTAAAAGATACTGGACTATTAAAGTTATTTATTTGATTCAGGCGAATATAATTATTTTTATCTAAGCTACGCAAGGGTTGGTGCCTGAAGATCGTCTCTTGTATGGAACCTTCTATCAAAAGACAGACGATTCCTTATTTCAAATCTTAAAACCATGACATTAACTTTTTAATATAACTGCCAACCGTAGGCATTGCAAGAGCAAAGAGTTTACCTAAACAAGGAGGCTGTAACGTAACGGACGTTACAGTACCCTGACGACGAAATCACCGACGCTCCTCCGATTCCTCCCACACAGGCCAGAAACACCTACACTACACAGCTAGCATACTTGCACACTAGCTTATCATTAGGCAGACACCGCACCCGTAGGATAAGAGTGCGAAGACCCGGTCTACACACGACACGCTATACGAGGTACAAATAAGTACCTGGGCGTTTTTCCCCGACCCCCACGACAACGGCTAACTAGAGCCGAGGTCTGAGTCTCAGAGACGCCTTCTAGTTGAGCCGACCCTCTCAGGTTCGTGTGGTCTAAAGGCTCCAGAAGGAGAGGAGACTCTCCCGTGGGGAGATGTCATCCGCCTGGAATACCTCTAGAGGCACTCGCCAATTCTCGGCTTGAGGTCCCCTTAGGATCACGCCGTCCGCAAACCCGGTTACACTGTAAAGGTCATCTACGACCAACAGCATACACACTCAAAAAAAAACCCTGCACGCCTGACGTTATATATTTAGTACAATAGTACAATTAGTGTCGATTCTGGCAGGGTTCTTTCTAGGCCTAGACTTGGATTTGATAGCGGTGTATCCTTGTCATTCTCTATACAGAGTAAAAGGGAGGGACTGGTGTTGGATCTGCTAAATTTTTACGCATGCAGTAGCAGCCTTTAAGTAAGGCAGCGCTAAGAATTGTTTTCTTTTTTTCATTCCCAGTTGTATTGTTATTTAGTGTTTGTCTTGTTGGCTGTCCATAATATATAAACAGAAAACGAGTGAGTCTTACAGTAGTCGCCTATGATGTGTAAGATTTAAAACCTCACCTTATATTAGTAAAAAAAGAAATAATACTACAAAAGGAATAACTCATCTTCCGTGGCGCGTACCCTTAGCACAGCCCAGTTACGAATAGTTGAATTCGATCTGTTTTATACGTCAAATGTGTACTGATTTTTAGTTCTCGTTACATCCGTTATGGCGTTGCTGTTCAAGTTTTCATACAAAATATGACAATGACATTTCACACTTGCAAATTATTCGAATTCGATATTGATTCGTGCTAAGGCTACTGTACTACAGGTAGACTCCCGTGGAACGCGTTCGTTCGCATGGCAGTAGCCTGTATGAAAATGTATGACACGGTTTCTAAAATATGCGACAGACGCGTGCGGTCTAAGACAGACGTCGGTTACACGGTACCATACATTTTCATACAGTGACTAATCGCATCAGACGCACGCGCTCGATCACGTGCAGCTGCGATCTGCCGCGATGCACGGAAGTCTACCTTTAATGCATTCTGGCATCTGCGCGAGGCAAGACGCAGCGGAGGGACTGCGCTTTGATTGACTAATACAAGGTCATAATCTAAGTAAATGGTTTGATGATGGTCCGCAGAGCCATTTGGACTTTTGTTCACTTCTTTGCACTCCGAACGCGAGTGGTCGACACTGATTGAATATTTCCCTGCGGGATTATTTATTTTATTTATTAGTCAGATGTGTTATCAGGTATAATAGTCTATCATTAGCCATCTAGAGGCTGTATAGTAGGTGGATAAAAATAATCATAAATTACCTCAGTATCTCATCACAAAAGTTTTTCAATAGTGTCTATGCACGCTAGGAGTAGCTATGAGGGGATCAAGAAGAACAAAGCTGCCCATCCTAAATTTCGATTGAAAACGATTTTGCAGTTTCTTAATTAATTTCAGAGTGAATGTCACTTCAACTGGACTGTTGCCCAATATACTCTCTAAGGTTCGAAGGCACTACGGTGTAGGGGATAGGGCCAAGTTGGCTACGGTGCGAATGATCAATGACATAATTGTTATATTTTTCGTCTTTATTGATTATTTATCTGTGTAAAGCTAATTTATGAATATTTTCACGTTGCGAAGAGATGAGCCTGTGAGAGCTGGAATGGTAGGAAATCCCTTACGCAAAATAGGTACAGAGTATCGAGTACCAGCAAATAGAGCTGGGGCGGCAGAAGTGATACCTATCCTCACGCCAAATAGCGCGAGTTGCGTAAATAGACACCCTAAAACTAAGATTAGTCATGTGAATATAGTTCCCCATAAAAAAACCTGTTAATAGTTCCATCTACGGTCTATATTTGAGGAGCTCGATGGTGCAAGTGATTAGCGCGTTCGGCTGCGATCGTTCAAGTTAAGCAACTATCGCATTGGATGGGCGACCAAAAATCTCGAACTCCTCCGTGCTTCGGAACGCACGTTAAGCCGTTGGCCCCGGCTGCATCTGCAGTCATGAGCATCCACCAATCCGCACTGGGCCCGCGTGGTGGGTAATAGCTTGGGTAACCAACTTTTTTTCTATCAAAATATAGTATTTTCGAAGTTGTTACCACAAAAAATGTAGTAAATGGCAAAAATTGGAAAAAATATAGTATGTGATTAAAATATTGCCTTTTTTTTGAAAGAATGTATTATTGCTGCTCTATGCCTTAATAATTATTTTTTTTATTTATAAAAAAGCTTTTATTGGCTAATATCTGTTTTAAGAAAAATATAGTAGTTTCGCCTACTACATATATAATTTGAATATAGTATTTGATTCCCTAATATAGTAGGATACTATATTGTATAGTATGGTTGGCAAGTCTAGTCATGGCTGGCCCAATCTTCCTATTTCATCCATAGGGAAGGCATGTGGCCCAGCAGTGGGGACATTATTAGGTCGACGATGGTGATGATGATGATGACTGTCTAGGTCTTACAATCGAGCGACGCGGCGCAGACTGGCCTCCAGCATTGCGTCGAAGGCGTCGCCCGCGCTCCTGAAGCTGCCGTCAGGAGCGCCCGCGCACGCCCACGCTATGTACCCGCCGCGTTTCACCAGCGGCGAGAGAGACTCCAATACCTGGACACACGATAATAGAACAACATCCACTTCTCTATAGCGCGATTCATACTTTATGGTGGTAACTCACAATCCTGCCGCTTGATCAAATAAGTTTGATCAAGCGGATGAAGTTTGTAAGGCCCTTCCGGCCATAAGCATGAACTATTAGTCAGTAAGAGTCTTACATAACTAATGCAGCCGGCTGTAAGGTATCCATGAGGATTTCACACCCATTCCCCCGCCTGGGAGGAAACAAAAAAGGAGTAATTTTGGACGGATATGTCACTTGACGGATGGATTTTGGCGTGACCAAGCCTATTTGATCGAGCCACTTGATCAAGCAGCATGATGGCCAATGGCCACTATTATGGTGGCTTTGCAGTTGGTAACGAGCGCAACTATGCGCAGGTTTAAGAATAATAACATACTTCGCCGTCTATTTAGGTATGATTTCTACCAAACAGCACGCATCGCATTGGATTATTCATAAGGAATTGTACAATCTTTTAACACAATGAAATCGTGTACACGGTAATTAAATGAGACCAAGTACACAAAGTAGTTCCTACGAAGGGTTCGTAATTGAATATTTTTATCCATACTTTTCTGGTAATATTTGCCTTAGGATGAGTAAGGAACGCAATTGGGTTGAATTATTTAAAACTACCTGTTTATTAGGGATATTTTCCCGCAGTAAAACGTTGCCTATGTGTTAATCCAGGGTGTCAGCTAACTCCATACCAAATTTTATTAAAATCGCTCCAGCCGTTTAGACGTGAAGAAGTAACAAACAAGCACACTCACACAATCACAAACATGCGCCTTTATAATATTAGTGTGGTAAGAAAATGGGATGAGACGTCATGGGACGGAACAACTCAATTTCCATAGTTATTGGTCGTGCGTGCGTGTATGTTCCCTGGAAAAATAATTACAAACTGCCGGTACTATCACTATTGTTCTGACCGTTTTCTGATCTCCCGTCACATAGCCCGTGTCTTAATACCTACTTACTTTTAGTACGAAGCTTAAATAATCATATTTTATGACATCTACGCGGATAGATAGTGCCTGTGCGCTATACAACCTTGATCTAAGTAAGGTCACGTTGCACGTCAACTTAAAAACTGGTGCCAATTAATTTGAATATTCTTGACCTTTTCGTTGTAAAATTCGCGCGCTTCTGGTTCAAAAATAATTATAGATTCTAAATTGGTTTCTTGACACAGATTTCATAATATACTACGTAATTTTTTGCCTAGAGGCAGTCTAAGCGGACGGAAATACCTAACCTCCATTTGATTCAAGTTTTTATTTTTAAGAGGTACCTTTAAATTATGATACACGTCGTCATTAACTAAGTTGGCAATGGCCTCTAAGGAAGTAGGCTTAGAAGTCGCGTGTGCGCCGACCACTATTAGCGCGTCAACTCGTACGCTGTCCGCTCCGCTGGTGGCGTCGCTGTCGTCGCTTTCGTTAGGCGTCTGTCTGACGACGCACCCGAGCGATTCTAGACGGGTCTTCAATACTTTCCCCAGTGCATTGGTAGTGTTTGTAAGCTGGAACAACAAAAAGATACTTGCAACATCACGTAAGTAGTTAAGAGAAATATTTACTGGGTAACTACCATGATATTAGAAGGTATGCAATGGCATATCAGTACAACAAACAGTAAAATCAATTAGTTTTACAATGTTTGCTTACAGAACCTAGATACCGCACAGTATTATAGGACGTGACGTAGTGTAACCCTTTGCGAGTCGGGTTTTTGGTCCTAGTCCAGCATAGATTGGAAAATAGCGTTTTATTCCGATTCCGGCCCTTATGGCAAGATATAATTTTTATTGTATGATAGCACTTAAGTGCTTGATCACGAGGGTCTCGATGGTGAAAGTGGTAAGCTCGTTCGGCTGTGACCGTTGAAGTTAAGCAACTTATCCACTGTGGTCGGTCATTGGATGGGTGACCAAAAATTTACTCTTGAGCAGGCACATTTAGCCGCTGGCCCCGGCTGCGTCTGCAGTCATTAGCACCCACCAATCCCCAATGGGCCCTCGTGGTGGGTCACGACTTAATCTCTCCCTATTCCATTCATAGGAAAAGCCTGTGCCCCAGCAGTCTGAACATTAATAGGCTAATAATGATGAAGTACTTCAAAGTATGATATTTTACAAAATTACAATGACTGTGTCGACTGGGCGGAGTCCCGGATATCTGATCTTGGCCAGCCGCTTCCTGATGGGGTAGGCGAGTAGCGTAGACGTGGTGAGCAGCAGCGACCTACTTCTGAACCCGGCCAGCAGCCGCCAAGCGAGCGTAGTACTCGCCTTCTACTTCCGGCATAATGAACCGCTCGCTGAGAAAATAACAAATTACCATGACTGTGTCGACTGGGGGGCGTCTCGGGCGCCTGATCCTGCCCAGCCGCTTCCTGATGGAGTAGGCGAGTAGCGCGGACGTGGCGAGCAGCAACGACCCGCCTTCTAGCGTGGCCAGCAGTCGCCAAGCGAGCGCCGTGCCGCCTTCTACCTCCGACATGATGGCGCGCTCGCTGAGAAAAGATCAAAATTGATAATATTAGTGAAGGAATCCAGAAAATAACGATTTCAATAAAAAAATAGGCAATTTATAAGAAAATATGACAAGTAGGCTTGCAACTTCGCCTGCGTGGAAATTTCCTTCCTTCGTTGGTTTCCCATACAAAATTCTACCTCTCCTTTCCTGGGACCCAAACTATCTCTATATTATCTTTCATCTAAATATCATCAGCGGTTTAAGCGTGAAGAGCCAACAGACAGATAGTGAGATATACTTTCGTATTCATTATATTAGCATGGATATGGATTATTTTGAGAATAGATACCATTAAGAAGTTACCTATTGTTAACTGTTAATGGAAAACCTGCCGTTGGCTATACTTTAAGTAATGTATCTAAATATTTTTTTTCAACTTGTTTCAACTTTCTATTAATACTATATGAATACGTTTTCACTTCTGAAGTGCAGTCCTAAGGCTTACAGTTTTTTTTGTGAATATTTAAGCAAACAGTAAGAAGCCACTATAGTTTTATCCTCGCACACCATAGTATAGTGACCCCTAACCGTGGACCTCAGGAAACACAAACAACACACCGACAGAAACACATCACGAAATCTAGTGTTGATTATTTTACTCCGATCTTCTGTAATGTACAGGTCGCGGTAGTAACTCTAGAGCTGAACAAAACGCGGAGGGGATAGCTGCGCATGGGTACGACTGGAGAGCCAATCGGCGCAACGCACGCCCACCCGCGCACCTCGTTTCCCCCCAAGACATCTTAATTTTTGCTTCTGTGCAATAACGGTCAGCGCTAGAGTTTCGTGCCGCGACTTATAAGGTAGAGTATACTTAGGTAGAGGATCGATTGCTGTGCCCGTGTTCTCCTAATTACTTTTTTTTTATAATTTACTAATAATACTGATTGAATCGAATAACCAAAAGGTAATGCATAATCATAATCTTTATTGCTTCATGTTGAAACAGGTAAGTTCTTAAAATAATACGTGATCACAAAAAAAAGACTAATTTATATTTGTGAAGGTCTGCAGTGGACTGGATGCAATGTCAGACCTCAAACTCACAGACACTAATTTATTGAACTTAACTTGAACTTTTAAAACATTGATTCAAAAAAGATGCTTCAAATCTAAATCTACAATATTTAGATTTTTGAAATAATGTGTTTAAATTACAATACCGATTGAATGTCGAATAACTAACCAATGATAAACGTGCAAGGTACAATAGACTTAAATCTAACACAATGTTATATACGGTAATTATTATGCTTAATTGCTGATGCTATCGTGAGCGAGCACTTTAAACGCAGGGCATAGTTACTTACAAACACTCGAAGGCTACTGCAACGATTAATTAGATTTAATGATGCATCTTCAACACTGAGGAAGCTCCTAAGTGTTACTTATTAAAATCATCACAGAAACTGAATTGAAACATGGTTATTCATATGCTATTACAACGCGGCAACGTGTTCAAAAATTATTTCTGGTCTGGTACTCTAAACAATTTTGCAGTAACGGCGTGCAGTGTTATTCTATAATCTCACTTTTCACCGCGGCGCCGCACCGCCACCCGCCGACGTAATCTAAAATTTATATGAAATTCGTGTTCTTATTTTAAATCACCGTTGATTCCGATATGAAAAGTGAGTTTGTTTTTACAGAATAGCACCGCTCATCTCAGCTTGTGCCCCACCCTGGGATGTGGTACTGACTTCCACATACAGCATGCAGTCTTATTTAATTTAAAATAGACCGTTATGAACTTTATCTATCAATATAAATAAATAAAGAAATATTTCCAACACTGACACCAATTAGCCTAGCCCCAAAGTAAGCACTGTAAGGCTTGTGTTATGGGATGCTAGGGTAACGGATAGAATACATATACAGTACATATATAATCATCATCATTTGCACATCACGCCACCATCATACGATCACATAATATTTTTCTCTAAATTAACCCTTTGACCTTCATCATATTTGCGTATTACATGGCCATGGCCATGGCCACCCAACTAGCCACCATGACTACTTAGAAACGATCATTAAAGCTCACTATCGCTACCCATCTAAGATATTAAAAACCATTAGAACACCAAATAACCTGCAGGTCACTTGATATCATCCTATTTCTTTCGCGGAACATTCACAATTTGGCAACACGTGTAGATAACCACTTGTTTACACCTTGCTATAAAAATCCCAAATCCCTCAGGACCGATTCATTCTACATCTGATCCTCGTCTCAGGCACTCATCAAGACTCATCTACTGATTCGCGACGCTATTTGATTCATATAACACCTTCTCTCCAATTAGTCTGAGTGTAAGCCAGACTGGCACAGTGGTAAGTAAATAACTCAGAAGAATCAACTGGTTTCTATTTCACGAATACTCCAGGCCGAACTGGTACATACAATACATGTTGTACTAGAAGCGAAACCCTCCAACCTTGTCTATTGATGACACTATTTAGTAACTGCACGAGAAAAAAGCTGCCTTGAATGTCCAAGTATTGTTTTACTCCCAAGCCAGAATGATAGTATAAAAATCATTGACAATTAGTAATTAATCAGTCTGCCATGCGAACATTATGAAAGACAAATGGTGGCAAAACAATTGCGAGAATTCCCTTCCACATATTGTTCATTAAACTATTCATTACCGACTACAATGCGTTTTGGATGCAAATAGTGGTGTGAATGTTTCTTTTCGCAATTAGGTAAGAAGTTAATGTACACGACCTTATGACTTGCAACCCGTGCTTGCAACCCAAAGCACCCCAAGCACGAATTTTGACAAATCCTTGATAGTAGGGGAGCCTAAGCCGGGATTTACTCGAGCGCGGCAGAAAACAACAGCAACGAAAACGTTGCACCTTGATGAAATACTCCTACTTCACTAGAGTCCTATCCACTAGATAAAGGGACGAACGTCTAGGGCAGCAAAAACAAAAATTCAACAAGACCTTTGGGCACGTCCAAATCGTCAGGCTTTTGAATAGGAGTTACTGGACGATTCATATAACGTTCCTTCTAACGATGTCTGACGCGCTCGAATATTTTTGAATTGAAAATTTCTTTAGTGTCGTTGTGATTCGAGATGTAAATCATGTGCCCCTGTGGTCTAGCTAGTTTAGTTTGCTCGTTGTCAAACAAACGAACTCAAGCTAAGACTCAAGCAACAAAAATGCTTGTGTGTACAGCGTGCGCCGGTACCGACTCAGTTTTTTCTTTCCACTAAGAAAGACTTTTCATGAAATGTAAACATTTCTATCGCGATTGCCCACTTTACTCTTTTCAGTGGATGCACTTCATCTTTAACGTTGCGAGTTACACGAAGTATGTGCGGTTGTGTGGAAATATGGAACACTAACTTATGTAAGTTCGGTTGCAGTTTATAGTCAGACTTAGTTGTGCCCTATTACATTAAGTTACATAATAAGTCTTGTATATTTAATAGTGAATGAAATACAACTATATCATTATTATTATATGAAGAAGATTTTTCTACAATAAAGGTGACTGTAGATTTTTTTCTAGTTAAATTTTCTTTAGATCTGTGTTACTTCATACAAATAATACATTTACAAAATTCAACTACTATTCCGAAAACTGATTTCTGTAAAAGTTTATAATTTTTTCTTAAATGTAAATCGAATGATATCATTTTAAGACTTGACATTAGACGATAAGGAATAAGCCCCAATAGCTGGTCATCTTTAAAATGTGCCCTTAGGGGACATAAGTATAATATGAAATGTTATCCTAATATATTTAACCATGACTATATATACAAGATTAATTTGAAGTGATGTCTAGAATCTAGAATTCAGGGTGGCATTTAGACGTTTTAGGGGCCTAGTAGCCTAGTAGATACAGTAGTTTACCTTCGGAACAGGTGTAGTGTATGAGTTTAGATGTAAAGGACTCGGTAACTGTGACTCGCTCAGGGCCGCGTAAATATTTAACACTTTAAGTTCGCCTTACGAAATTAAACACTTTATTATTTTACAAGAAAGCTTTAAGTCGTATTTTATTTTTTCATTATGTCTATCCTTTACTTAGAAAAATCATTCAATTATAATATAATAAACGCATCAAAAATCTTGTGCATAAAAATAAAAATATTTAAATCCAGTCTTCCAGATTGACTTTATTACTTTAATTCCAATTTTTTAATCAAGTGTCAACTTAGTCAATCATCTCTATTATTAATAGCAATAAATCAATAATGAAAAAAGTTGCTGACAATAAGACGTTGGTGTGAAAACAATTATTAAAAAGCTTGTTAAGTGTTGACCACAATTCCGTCTTCCTGTCGTGAAAAATCAACGCAAAGCTCTACATTTAATATCATTTATAACTATGTACCTACGTACTTAAACAAGCTGGAACTTCTGTATATCATTATTCTGAGGGAACTTCAATCAACTGAAGATAGGTGATTAGAGGTATATCGCCGAGGGCATGTTGATGATTGCTGTTCAATGACAATTTTTTCATTTCATTCTATTTCAAAAGAAATACGAAAAAAATTGACTTATAAACATCTGGAATATCGATGCTTTTTCATGAGCTTCCCAAAGAAAGGTTTGCGCATGATTCTCTAAATTGTCTGTTGTCATATTCATTGAGGCCTATTATTATGTCATGATAGTTAAAGAGTTGGAACACAATAAAAGAAAGGATCCTCAATTCGACATAATCGGCGCCAGTATAATTTTACCCATTGCAGTAAGTAAGAATACCTAGGTATATTAGCGCATTTTTCTCAATTTAAAATTTTCTATTCTAGACAAAGCCAATGGAGCCTGGCAATAAAATATAGATTTGCCAAATTGATAAAACCATAATGGTATGCTACATATGCTACTATTTGCATGTCATAACAGGAAACTAAAGAGTTATGGTATTTGATTATATTAGAACCAGTCAAAGAAACAAGCTTTATTTGTCCCACAGATTATAATTGCAAATTGATTGAT